GACTGAGCCACCCAGGCACCCCAGCAGTGAGCGTTTTCACATGTAAATGTTCTGTGCAATCGATTCCTTTGGGCTAGATTTCTAGGTAGAATGACTGAACCAGATGGGTGGACCTTTGGTTAGCACTGAATTCTGTACATGCTAATAGGAGCCTAGAAACCACCCTAGTGAGAAGAGAGCACAGAGCCCCTGGTATCGAATTCATTGTTACTGGATGTTGCTTGTGGAGAAGAAACATGGTGTTTGGAGGTGTCCGAATGAAGACTAGAATACATTCAACAGAAAAGATTAAAGTTGATTTTGAGAAAGGGACTTAGCGATGAGGTCTGGAGCTGCCTCGAGGGAGAACTGGATCAGAACTTACCATGATTTCTCGAAGACATGAATTCATAGTTTGGTCCCTTATTTGGGCAAGACTGGATTTGGACCAATTCAGCAAATACTTTTTAAAGCCCTTGTGTTTGGCTGGCCCTGGGATCCCAGAAATGAGTGAGACAGACGTTGTCCTTACCCTCGAGGTACTGGCCGACACTGAAGATTTGTGGAAACAGTTGTAGTTTTGATAAGTGCTCTGAAGGAAAAGTCTAGGACAATAGGAGGAGGTTAGGAAAGGGGACTTAGCCCCTCTCTCCTCTCCTTTGGGGGACTTTCCAGGTGCCCGGGAATTCTCAGCTCTGGGGTCTTAGTATGGCTGCCTGATTCTGTGCATCCACTTTGGGGCACAGGGTGTTTGGTTGGTAGGGTTCCCTCTGAAGTTGAAAATCATAAGCACAGACCTGTCATGAAGAGAGATGGAAGGACTCAGAAATCGGATGAGTGCTTACGGGGAACTGAGAGAAATGTCCCTGAGAGTCCTCACGTTTTTGATAAAATGTAAGAAGCCTAGCAACTAAAAGTTGAATCCTTACTAACTTAACTTGATTTGTTAAATTAACAAAATCTTTGATCCAACCTCAAATCACAGATCTAAGCTGTTTCAACAGATGGCCCAAATATTTAAAAATTCTTGAAATAATCCTTATTTGAAACTGAAGGCCTACAGCTTCTAAACTACTTTCTGAGTGGATTTCTGCGCTAATGGGAAGCAAAATAATTTTCAGAACAGAGTGACATAGTCAAAATGACAGCCCAAAATAATTTTCAGAACAGAGTGACATAGTCAAAATGACAGCCCAGTGCTGACACCAGGAAGATCATTGTGGATGTCCACAGCAGGCGTCCCTGAAAACAGGCATGGCCATCTGCCACCCCCTCCCCCCCGCCCCCGTTCATGCATTCTGCCTGCTGTGGGAGGATGGTGCCCAGAACCTGACCCTGTTCACTTCATCCTTGCCCCACCCTTCTCAGCAGATAGTGGAGCACTGGGGTCCTGCAGCCAGTGAGTGGTGGGCCTGGGTCTGCTTGGACTCTGCAGCCTGCTGTCTTCAGTACATCACTCTGCTTTGTGTTTATGGTGGGGATGCACATGCCTTTGGACCTGGGGAGTCATTTACACGGGAGACGTTGGTGGTTTAACTGTCCTCAAGGCAGTATGGGGAAGTATAAAGGATATGAGTCAGGAGAACATGACCTCTTGAAGTCTCTGCAGCTTGATGCTGTGAAAATTGGCATAATGTACTGTAGCTGGGAGGTGTGAAGAGGAGGATGCGGAGGGGCTGACTCACAGTGGCAGTTGCTTCTCCAACAGGAACCATTGTTGTAGAAGGCCATGAGCTGCATGAAGAGGACATCCGCCTCATGTACACCTTTGATCAGATGATAGGAGGGACGACGCGATATGAAGCGCACTCGGATGCCCAGGTATTTTTCTCTTCCCTAGAATGTTTCTTTACCAAAAGATAACATAAGAGGAAAAGGTAATTTGCCTGTGCCTTTCCTGAGTGTTGACAGCTGGTCTCAGAGTACAATAAACCAGATATTCATTTTAGATTGGGTTTATTAAATTACTCCATTGTATGCTCTTAACATGCGCATTTCTTTTCTTTTTTTTTTTTTTAATATTTTATTTACTTGAGAGAGAGTACAAGCAGGGGGGAGAGGTGGAGGAAGAAGCAGACTCCCCGCTGAGCAGGGAGCCTGATGTGGGACTCAATCCCAGGACCCTGGGATCATGACCTGAGCCAAAGGCAGATGCTTAACCTACTGAGCCACCCAGGCACCCCGTCCCTACATGCGCATTTCTTTAGCATATATGTAAATAGACATTTTGTGACCTCTGCTTGCAACTGTCCTAAGTGTTGGGTCCTACAAAAATGAATAAGACGTAACCCCACCCTTCAAGGAATGAGCCAGTCATAGAGACAGAAAAGTAAGCCAATTCTTACTCTTCTGCTTGGTAAGTTATCTGGTAGAAATGAGCACAGAGAGGGGCTCCTTTCCGAAGCCTGGCATGGAGTCAGGTTGGGGAGGCACATCCTGGAGGAGGATGTGCAGCAGTTTTGGATTCTGGGGTCAGTGCTTTTTGTCGTGATGGATCAGAGCATCTCTCTTTGCTTTTTTTTTTTTTTTTAAGATTTTATTTATTTATTTGACAGAGACACAGCGAGAGAGAACACAAACGGGGAGCGGGAGAGAAAGAAGCAGGCTCCTGGCCGAGCAGGGAGCCCAGCGCGGGGCTCGATCCCAGGACCCTGGGACCATGACCTGAGCTGAAGGCAGACGCTTAACGACTGAGCCACCCAGGCGCCCCCTCTCTTTGCTCTTGACCAGACTTTTCTGGCAGACAGGTCATAAGATCTCTAGGTTGGGCGTGGGGGGCTTGTGGGAGTTCCTCTGTGCGTAACCATGTGCACGGGACGTGGGGAGTACCATGTGAGGAAGGCCAGCCTCCTCAAACTCCTCAAGCCTTTTGCAGTGGCTTGAATTAGATGTAGGCCGAGCTCCATGTGGGCAGACGGCGTGAAGAGCCCACACCCTGATGGCAGCCAGCCTGAGGAAGTCAATGAAGGAAGTGTCCTGGTCTTCTGAGATTGCTGACACAGTTCATGTACTGTGCGCTGGGGTGGCCCTGCCCCGCCTCGCCACCCATCTTCAGTTCTGCCCTCATGAAGTAGAGCAAGTTTCTGATAAAATTTCCTCAGAAACGTTCCTGCTGGGGCGCCTGGGTGGCTCAGTCGGCTGAGCATCTGCCTTCAGCTCAGGTCATGATCCCAGGGTCCTGGGATTGAGTCGCACTTCGGGCTCCCTGCTCGGCGGGGAGCCTGCTTCTCCCTCTCCCCCCTGCCACTGCCCCTGCTTGTGCTCACGCTCTCTGACAAATAATAAAATCTTTAAGAAAAGAAAGAAACATCCATGCAGCTGGTGCTTGACTTACAAGTGTATCCCCGTCTGTGGGCGGTGACACCGCATTTTTACGTCATCGACGTCCTTCACGACAGATGGCGTAGGAAGTAGATGAAGTCGGGAAGAAGATGACGGTTTAAATCCTATCAAACATGTCGGGGTCTCCTGTAGAAACCGTGTCTTGAATCACACTGACGGACTAAGGGTTGAAAAGGCTCCTGGCGGAAGAAAACAGTGGGCTGCTCTGGGGCCCTCACGGGCTCATTGGCGGTGTGAAGGGCTGTGTGGCCCCGACCCCACTTCCTGCAAGGGCAGTGACTGCCCGTCACACAGACGAAGAGCAGTTACACGGGAGACTCACTGCTCCAATCCTGGGAGTGGCCCTCCTCAGAAGAAAAGGAGGCGCTGGACCTGTCCCAGTGGAAGGAATAGCTCCTTACAAAGAAGCACCTGAACCGTAATGAAACTAGCTTAATTTTATCTCCTTTGCTCAGAATAATTAGTGCTACATGACAGACTTCTCAGAATTTAACTTAAGTACAATTGTGCCAAGTTTGAGATAACTGTTCCTCCTTATTTGATTGTCGTGCTATGCACTCTTCATTCCTACAGGTTTTGGTTCTCTTAGATGTCACCCCCGACCAGTCAATGGTGGATGAAGGAGTGGCTCGGGAGGTCATCAATCGCATCCAGAAACTTCGCAAAAAGGTCAGTTTGTCACATTAAGAACAAGCTAACTGTTTTGTGTTTTTTGTTGTTGTTGTTTGGTTTTTTGGTTGTTGGGTAGGACAGGAGAGGAAGGTAATATAAACCACTGTAATTGAGTAATGGTTTATGGTCTGTTCACATTGTGCTCTGCAGGAAAAGTAGGCCCCCTTCCACTCCCTACTCATTTGCCCCAAGCTGGACATGGCTCTTTTGTTTCTCTGACCAGGAACTTTCAGCCAACCTGTCCCCCTAGTCCACCTCTTTCAGTTCCCCAGGGTTTCCACAGAATCATCCGGATAGATAGCCCTCCTTACTGGCGCAGGTCATCAGAGAGGACAGTGGGTGTCTGAGGAAGGGCTCCTAGCTCAGGGAGACATTGTTGGATCTGGACAGAGGGGTGGTTCTTCCTCACTGGGGAGCTGGGAGCCAGGGCAGGGGCCCAAGCCTATTGCCTGCCCCACCAGGTGAGGGAGCCAGGAGCTCCCATCCCTCAACCCCGAGGAGGGGCTTCCCCACCTCCCACCAAAGCACAGGCTCCCCCACCCAAGGAAGGTCTCCCATCCCCGGCTCCGAGGAGAGGCTCCCTCACACTGACCAGAGCGGGGGCTCCCACCCTCCCTCCTCAGGCCAGGTGTCTGAGACCTGTAGTTCTGGGTCTCAGGAGTCCACTTTCAGCAGGTAATGGAATGCTTGTGAACTCTACCTCAGTTCAGAGTTTTGTAAGTGGGTTTTTGCTCAGTCACTCCTTTGTTTCAGAGGAGGATTGGGCAGGAGCCTGTGTGCTCCCATAATGATTCAGCACAGGACTGTCATCAGTCCTGTTCAATATCACCATACGTTTTGATTAACAATGTGCTTCCTTTTTAAATTTTCTGTATGTACTTTCAGTGCAATCTGGTTCCAACTGATGAAATAACAGTTTATTATAAAGCAAAGTCTGAAGGGAAGTATCTGAATAATGTTATCGAAAGCCACACAGAGTTCATATTTGCCACTATAAAGGCTCCCTTGAAACCGTATCCAGTTCCAATGTCAGATAAAGTCCTTATTCAAGAAGAAATGCAGGTGAGTTCTGGGTTTGTTGAACTGCAAAGAGATGTAAGGTTAGATTTTACGTTGTTTGTGGAGTGACCTCTTCATATTCTGCCCCCAGTAGTGACTGGCATAGTCCTCAGTCCTGAAGTACTGGGTGGGTTTGGGGAGGGGTGTCCAGAGAGGAGAGGGAGGGAAGGTGGAGCTGTTCTCACAGCAGTTCTCCTGGGAAAGGTAGCCAGGAGGTACATAAGGGTTGCCGGGAGACCAGGGGCTATGTGGGCCTGCTTTTCCTGAAACTAGAGAAGTTGATGTCGTAGATTCTGGGACTGACTGTTCAAAGCAAACAACAGTTGATTTGAAGAGCAGTTGACGTTTATGGTAGTAGGTTTTCCATAAAATTACAGTTTCATTTCTTGTTGGCACATTTTAGTTGCAACTATGAAAATCTGATACCAGAACATGGAAGATATGGGCCATGATTCAGAAATAGGTCATTTATAATAGGGGAAGGAGTTCCTTTCTGTATCAGTCACTGACTCTGCCATGTATTCCTTGTCTCATTCCTTCTTTCTTTTTTTTTTTCATTCCTCCTTTCTATAGAAGGGACAGATGGTACAGACAGGCAGGGGCTGGATGTCACTGTTAGTCTTTTCAGTGGGGCAAGTTACAAGATGGTTTCATTTTCTGTTCTGCATGTTTTTAAAAGAACAAGGTGAAAAGAGAAACGTGAAAAGTCAAAGCTTTTGACTGTTTTAGTGATGAGATTGAATATGCTCGCAGAATCCTACAGAGCTCTAGGTGTGAGAAGTAGCTGCTATGTTAGTTGGTGACACTGGTCAGTGCCACACTTACTCAGTCCCACGCTCTCATGTGCTTAGTTAAAGGGTTCTGACCTGGAAATTGCAATCACCAGAGGATCATCCCTGCCTGGTCCTGCTTGTGCATATGTCAATCTTAACATCTGTACAAATGGCAGCGAGCAAGGTAAGAGTAAATTAATCCCATGGCTTGTGCTTTGCTTTTTAGTTAAACCTATGAATGTCTTTAAGACTATTGTAAGTGAATTAATAAAATCATACAACTTTCTCTTTCTAATTGCCATCAAAATGAATCCACAAAAGTAAATGATTGGACTTGCACTTCCAGGAAGATGGAGTAGACATGCTCTTCCCTATTCTTCCCACAAAGTACAAGCATACACCTTGGGTGTGATGGGGGAGAGAAAAGGGCTGGCTTTTCCTTTTGCTTCATAGATCCCAGACTTGGAGCTGAAGAAGCCGGCAACCTGGAAATGCCTAATGCAGACAAAAATGCTCCAACAAAATCCTGCTCTCTGTAGACAGAGAACCAGGAGAGGCGCAGCCTAGCAAGACAGAAAACTTCTAGACAGTATTTGTTCTATTCCAGCCAAACACAACAGAAGAAACTGGCCCCACTGGCAAAGACCAAGTCGGGAGCTAGACCTTTGTCAGGAGCCTCAGGCCCCTACCACCTCGTGGTATCAGACAAGCCCACACAGTGAGCTGGGGCTTTCATCCTACCTCGGCAGGTCAGGTCTTGATCTCAGGATTTTGAGTTCAAGCCCCACATTTGGCTCCCCAGCATGGAGCCTACTTAAAAAAAAAAAAAAAAAATTATCTGACAGAATGTAAAGCAGCCATAATAAAAATGGTCCACAGATCAATTACAAACACAAAAGAAACAAATGAAAATAGGAAGCCTCAGCTAAGAAGTGGATATCAGGAATCAAATGAAGATTTTAAAACTGATAAATACAAGACTAGAATACAAAACCCAGTGGATGGGCACAACGGCAGAATAGAAGGGACAGGAAAGAGTCTGTGAAATGGAAGCTAGAACAATAGAAATTACCCAGTCTGAACAAAAGAGTTTTTTTAAAAAATCAGAAAAATCTTAAGGATCTATGGGATATTAACAGAAGTTTAATATTCTGTCACTGAATTCTGGGATAAAGAGAAGGAACGACAGGACTGAAAAAGTAATCAGAAATAATGGCTGAAAACTTCCTAAATTTGGCAATACATGTACACCTACAGATTCAAGAAGCCGAGAGAACCCCATACCCGATAACCCAAAAACTCCATTCACATTGAGACATGGCGTAGTCAGACTTCTGAAAGCTGAAGACAAAGAAGACATCCTGAAAGCAGCGAGAGAGTATGCCTCCCTAACCTACAGGGGAAAACAACTGGAACAGTATTGGATTTCTTGTCAGAAACTTTGGAGGCTAGAAGGCAGAATGCTACAAGAGGAGTACTGTCGACCGAAAACTCTGTATCAAGCAAAATATCTTTCATGGTGAAGGGAAAATCAAGACATCCCTAAATGAAGGGAGACTAAAAGAGTTCATTGTTAGCATGACTAATTCTAAAAGAATAGGTAGAGGAAATTCTTAAAACAAAGAAAATGACAAAAGAAGAAATGTAGGGACATCAGGACAGAAGAAACAACAACAAAAAGAGTCAAAATATAGGTAAATTCAGTGGACTTTTCTCCTTGAATTTTCTAAATAATTTGATGGTTGTAACAAAAACTATAACATCTCAGTGTATATGCAAGAAATAATAAAGGAAATTGAAAGTAGAGGGGCACCTGAGTTGCTCAGATGGTTAAGCGGCTGCCTTTGGCTCAGGTCATGATCCCAGGGTCCTGGGATCGAGCCCCGCGTCCGGCTCCCTGCTCTGCGGGAAGCCTTCTTCTCCCTCTCCCGCTCCCCCTGCTTGTGTTCCCTCTCTCGCTGTGTTTCTCTCTGTCAAATAAATAAATAAAATCTTAAAAAAAAAGTTTTAAAACAACTTTTAACTCCCTAGTTCCTTTTCAGAAATCTTGTTAGCTCATCTGTGTCAGGAAGGGCTAAGAAACATTTGCTTCCAGAGCTGGGTTCTTCCTGCCCACCACCGGTGGCACCCTTCGGGTCAGGGTGCTGGCCTCAAGACGGCAGAGCCACGCTCCCTGTGAGCACACACCTCATCCTTATGCGGGTCCCTGTCATCGGAACAGGGAAGTTTTTGAATGGATATCTAACCACACAAATACGTCACAGACGATGTTTTACTAAACATCTGTGTCCTATCACTGCTACTCCAGCCTGAGGTCGTGAACCCTCTGTTCACTCCTGAACACACAAGCAAGACCTGCCTTGTGCCTGGTGCCTCTTGTCTGACCTCACTCACCTTCATCCTAGGAAGCATTTCCGCAGCTCCCTGACGCGGTTTCTGAGGTGTGGGGACATTGGGTTGTGGTCGGGGCTCCTGCTCTTATGACAGACGTCCTCTGGGTTGCTTCGGGGCTCTGGCTCTCCCGCTGTTGCTGCGCCTCACGGTGTCCATCCTACCAGGTTCAGAAAGTAGCGTCACGTCCACTCACGTGGAGCTGCTCTTTTCCTGGGCCTGAGGTCACTTAATGATGTCCTCTGTCCTCATGCAGGCCCCCTATACACCTTTTCTCACCGAATTGATGTACCAGAATCTAAAGCTGCTGATGGACCCCGTTTCTGTCCAGGACAAGGACACACACAGCATCCACTACCTCACCCTGCCCCATGTTCGGTAAGAATCCTGTGACGTGGAAGCCTCGCCTGCGCCCGGGAGGGCTCACGTGGTAGCTGCTCCTCAGGCTGCAGAGGGGCTGGAGGGGCCGCTCCTTCCGCACTCCGTGCCCCTGTCGTTGGGATGGGCTCCCCTTCCTGGGGTCCCTCTCAGCCCCGCGTCTGCCGTCAGGGAGGAGCTGATTGACAAGAGCACGGAGAGCGCAGTGTCCCGGATGCAGTCTGTGATCGAACTTGGGCGAGTGATTCGAGACCGCAGAACCATTCCCATAAAGGTTTGATGCTTCATTTGTCTTTTGCATGCACGGGCCCAGAGAGCTACACCTTTGGAGCGTTGTCTTAAAAGAGAGCGCTTCCAGCAGTAGCAAAATTTTTTTTCTTTTCTGCAGTAAGGGTGTGAAAGACTTAGTTCTGGTTGAACCTGATCAGTCTGGAGCTTGAGATTCGGATGAAACATTTCACATTTTACTTTGCTGCAGTTTCAAGGGCTGGCTTTTTGGTAAACCATCCCTTCCCTTTCCTCCTAGTATCCTTTGAAGGAAATTGTGGTTATCCATCAGGATCCAGAAGCTCTTGATGAGATCGAGTCTTTGGAGAAGTACATCATTGAGGTAAGAGTGCTGGTTTGACTGTTTGGGTGCAAATAGACTTCTTTCTTGAAGAAGGTTGTTAGGGCTAGTACTCTTCAGTGAAGTTCACTGTGAGCGTATCATGCATCCTTTTCCTTTTGTATGTCAGCACATCCAAGTACTTAACCATCCACAGAATCTTACACTTTGCTTAGAATCAGCGTGCGCTTTTGCCTTTTTACAGTGTCACTGTAATTCTTTAAAAGCAATTCCAAGATGGGTGAATATCTTTACCTTGATTAGATCACTCACTTACCTTCATCCACTTATCTTCTCCAAATACTCTTTGATAATTAACCAAAAAACTTCCTTCAGATCATCAAGTAACAAGTGGGCATGCACTGGTCATGAGCAGCTCAGACTCCAGCATTGGGTGCTGAGTGAAACCCTTCCCACCCACCCAGCGCTGCCTGGGGATATTCACTAGGGCGTCCCCACCAGGCTGTTGGATGTGCACACACCATTGACCTTGTTTGTACTAGAGGGGACCATGTTTATAGTCTGCAACTTGGATTTTTTCACCTGACAGTGTTTTTTTTCCCCTAAGATTTTATTTACTTGGAAGGGGCGGGACAGAGGGGGTGAGAGAGAATCTCAAGCCGACTCCCCGCTGAGTGTGGAGCCTCACATGGGACTCCATCCCACAACCCTGAGATCATGACCTAAGCCTAAACCAAGAGCCAGATGCTCAGCGGAGCCACCCTGGTGCCCCTCTAAGTCTAGAATCTTCTTTAGTTGAGTTTTGCTCAACTGTCTTGAATGATCTGGACAAGAAGAATTTTTAAGTCATTTATAGAATTGTACAGCCAATAAAATTTTATAACATTTTGATCACCCCAAAAAGAAACCCAGTATCCGTTAGCATTCACACGCCATTTTTGCCCTCAAGATCCCGCCACGCCCTGGCAACCACGAGTGTGGCTGCTCTGGACGTTTCACAAAAATGAATCCAACAGTAAGTGGTCTTTTGAGGCTGACTCCCTTCACGTGGCACCGAGGGTCCGTTCGTGGTACGGCCTGTGTCCGTGCCTCAGTCCTGTATTTTGCTAAGTGATAGTCTGTTGTGTGGATGGATCACATTTTGTTTATCCTTTCAAAGCTGATGGACATTAGGGTGGTTCCATTTTTTGGCTATTGTGACCAATGTGTGAACGTTTATGTGCAAGTTTTGGGGCTCACATGTTTTCATCTCCCCCTTTTTGTTTCATCTTGGCTGCCAACTGTAGGAATTGAACGTCCGAAAGGTTACGCTGTCTACAGATAAAAACAAGTATGGCATTCGCCTAAGGGCAGAGCCTGATCACATGGTCCTGGGGAAGCGCCTGAAGGGAGCCTTCAGGGCGGTGATGACGTCTATCAAGCAGCTGAGCAGTGAGGAGCTGGAGCGCTTCCAGGACAGCGGTGGGTGTCTGCCCCGGCCAGCACCGTCCGTGGCCCCTTCCTGGTGCCACCTCACAACTGGGCTCCTGCTTCCCTGGCCTGTCGCTGAAGTACATAACAAATCTGATAATGGAAAGGAGGGATTACAAATGATCCCCGAGCTGTCACCCGTCCATTGAGCGCAGACCGAGTGCCCGCTCTGTGCCGGGGCCGGTGCCGGGCAGCGTGAAAGTCCTGGTGCAGACGGTCCCAGGCTCTCAACGTGGAGATCACACTGCAGTTATAAGTGTCGTGTTGTTCACACTTCCATTTTTGTATTTCATGTTTATCTTATTCATTTTTTTATTTTGCATTTTTACATTAGTCTGTGAAGTGCTATTTCCAGACTGTTGTGATGGTTTTCCCTCATGGGGATTCATGGTGTTCTTAACCAGTCCTGTTGTTGGCTCTTCACGTTGTTTCTGTTTTTCCACTGTTGTCAGTAGTATTGCAGTGAGCATTTTCTTTTTCTTTTTTTTTTTAAAGATTTTATTTATTTGACAGAGAGAGAGAGCGAGAGCAGGGGGAGTGGGAGAGGGAGAAGCAGGCTCCCCGCTGAGCAGGGAGCCCGATGTGGGGCTCGATCCCAGG